CAAGCCAACACTATAGGGGATGTCTGGTCTAGTGTGGCAAATAAATCTCAGACATCCAACCATTTGTCTGAACAAGGTGCAATCAACTTTAGGTTCTTCATCACACAAGTCAAGCTTCAACTGAGCTTCAGCAGGTGTATCTATAACACTTGAGATTTAATTTAAACGGATTAATAGTACTACTCATACCAACAAGGTGCATCTCCTTTTAAGGGAGCTCATTATCCAAGAACTCCAAAGTTAAGCGTGCTTGCACGGGAGTAGTCTTGGGATGAGTGACCCCCTGGGAAGTTTCTCAGGACGCGCACGAGTGAGGACAAAGTGCGTGGAAAAGGCTAGTGGCGGTTTGTGAGGACAGTACTATTGGTCCAGAGTAACTACCTCGGGTCCTGCGGGGCCGGGGTGTTACAGTATCAGCAGGATTGCAATTCAGCATGTCAAACCTTTCAAGAACATCATGAATATACATCTTCTGGTGCATTAGAATCCCTTCTTCAATTTGTGAGAATTCTATGCCAAGAAAGTAAGACAATCTGCCAATATCTGACATCTCAAACTCAGATTTGAGCTTTGTCTTAATATCTTCAATTCCAGTAGCACAACTACCTGTTATCAACAAATCATCAACGTACAAACAGATTATGAGAATATCTTCACTTTTCATCACTTTCACATAAACACCATGCTCAACATAACACTTCTTAAACCCAAGGTTTGATAGAAATGTGTCAATCCGTTTGTTCCAAGCTCTTGGTGCTTGCCTTAATCCATATAAGGCCTTCTTCAGTCTGTAAACTTTATCTTCACTTCCTTTAATGATATATCCAGGAGGTTGACAAACATACACTTCTTCTTCAAGGGGTCCATTGAGAAAAGTTGATTTAACATCAAGCTGTCTCAATTCCCAGTTCCTCACAGTAGCTAAAGCAACAATCAATCTAATTGTTTCAAACCTAGCAACTGGAGCAAATACTTCAGTGAAATCAACTCCTTCTTTCTGCATAAACCCTTTGGCTACCAATCTTGACTTATGTTTGCAAATGGTACCATCCGGATTGAGTTTTGTCTTGAATACCCATCTCACTGCAACAGGTAATTTATCAGTAGGGGGGTCAACTAACTCCCAGGTTTTGTTCTTATTGATTGAATTCAGTTCTTCATCCATAGCCTTCTTCCAAACCTCACTATCTAATGCTTCATGGAGATCAACTGGCTGCATATCCGCAAACAATGCTATGTGTTTGTACCAGCTCTCCATCATCAGTAATAGCATTATCAGGTATCAACTGATAATCATTCAATCTAGGAGGACAATTTCTTGCTCTTCTAGGTCTACCAAACTCATTACTTACAGGATTAGTAGTGGTTTGTGACCTCATATATGTCTCACCAACTTCTGAGTCAAGAGGAAGTGTTACAAATGAATCTGTTTGCTGAGTTTCTTCCTTCCAGCAACTTGACTCTACAAAATGAACATCTCTACTATAATGCACTTGATTAGTCCTTGGATCAAGTAATTTATAGGCTTCAGTTGGATGATATCCTATAAACACCATAGACTCACTTCTATCATCAAGTTTTCTTCTCCTTTGCTCAGGTACATGTTTATAGCAGAGAGAGCCAAAAATTCTGAAGTGTTTAATAGAAGGTTTCCTTCCTGACCAGACTTCTTCAGGAACCTTGAACTCCAACTTCTTGGTAGGGCAATGATTCAGAATATAAGCTGCTGTGGTTGGAGCTTCTCCCCACAAGCTTAATGGCAACCATTTACTCTTTAGCATGCTTCTCACCATATTTAGAACTGTTTAATTTCTCCTCTCTACAATTCCATTATGCTGTGGAGTGTAAGGTGCTGTAACCTCATGCATTATTCCATTATTTTGGCAGAAACTTCCAAATTCTCTGGAAGAATATTCTCCCCCACCATTTGTTCTGAGTATTCTGATGCAACTACCAGATTGCTTTTCAACCAAACATTTAAACATTTTGAACACACTGAACACATCACTTTTAGCTTTAATCAGGTAAAGCCAAAGTTTTCTGCTCAACTCATCAACAAAGGTAACAAAGTACCTATTTCCACCCAAAGTAGGAACCTCCATGGGTCCACACACATCTAAATACACAACATGCAGTAGACTATCAGCTCTAGATGTAGCAAAACTACCAAATGCAGTTCTGGACTGTTTACTTATCATACAACTATCACAAATCTTCTTTGGAACATGAATTGAGGGCAAACCTAGGACCATTTCCTTAGCTTTCATGAGGTTAAGATCTCTGAAATTCAGATGACCTAATCTCATGTGCCACAACCAACTATCATCATCCAGCAGTTCAGCACTAAAACATTGAGTTTCAACAGCATTCAAGTCAACTTTAAAGGTTCTATTTTGTGAAAGAGGAGCAGTTAAGACCTTTCTATTGAAACCATCAACCAAATTCAACTGTCTGCTATGCATATTCACAGTAAATCCCTTTTCTAGCAATTGACCTAAACTGATCAAATTACTTTTCATGCCAGGCACAAAAATCACATCAGTAATCATGGCATTTCTGCCATCTTTCCTCTTCACAATAACATCCCCAGTTCCTTCAGACATAATAACTCTATTATCAGCAAATCTAACTCTACTCCTTCAAAGTTCACAAGCCAATCTCTATGACCCGTCATATGATTAGAACAACCAGAATCAACATACCAGATTTTATCAGCATGTGACCCTTGTTCTTGGTGTGTAGTCATCAGAAGTAGAACTGGATCATCTTCCACCTTTTCTGCAGTTTCTTCCTTTGCCAAATGTGCCTCATCTGCCTTCTGATTGTACTGATTAGGAGGAGCCTGACATTCATTGGAAAAGTGTCCAATCTTGTTATAATTGAAGCACTTAATCTTGGTTCTATCTACCTTCTTCTTTCCTCCTCTCCAGTTCTGAAAACCACCCCTTCTTGATGAGCTTTCAGGCTGATCTTTCTCTTCTTTATCTGAGTTTTGTTGCTGAGAATTCCTGTCCTTCCCTTTGTAACCCCTTCCTCTCCCTCGGCCTCTAAAACCCCCTCTTCCCCTGTAACCACCGCTTCCAGTGGTCTGAACATGGAGGGCTTGATCAACAGACCTATCTGTTGATCTCTCAATGAGCCTTTGCTCATGAGCCTCAAGGGAGCCTTCAAGTTTCTCAACTTTCAGGTCTTCAAGCTTCTTGGACTCTTGAATCGACACAACAATGTGATCAAAATTAGGAGTTAGGGTTCGCAGGATCTTCTCAACAATGGTTTGCTCTGTAATTTTCTCGCCACATCTCTTCATTGCATTTGTAATGGTGGTAATTCGATTGAAGTATGCAGGAATTCTCTCGTTTGTCTCCATCTGCATCAACTCGTACTGCCTTCTCAAGGTCTGCAAACGGACCTTCTTCAACTGCTCTTCACCTCTATAACACGACTCAAGAATCTGCCATGCTTCTTGAGAGGTATTTGCAGAGGAAATCTTCTCAAAATGAACCTCATCCACACACTGGTGAAGGAGATACATAGCCTTGCAATCTTTCTTCTTGTTTTCTCTGTGGATTTGCCTCTGAGCCTCAGTCGCACCTTCCGGTAGATCTGGAAATCCGTTCTCCACAATCTCTGTAATTTCTTGGAATCCAAGAATGGCCTTCATCTGAATATGCCATCTGCTCCAATTCTTTCCGTCGAGAACCGGAAGTGTAGCAGGAAACACGGTACTGTTCATCTAATTTCGCAGCTTCTTCCCTTCGATCTTCTGAGCTCTGATACCAGTTTGTTGGGGAAGACGACTAACTGCAGAGGTTAGAAAAGATGAATAGAGAAAGTTGAATAATGAAGGCTGAGAAGGGAGCTTCGTATTTTCAATGTCTAGCAAAACTGAAGAAATACAAGTATATGTAATAGAACTGCTAACTGACTAACAAATCTGATTAACAAACTATTTAACAAACTTTTGAATTATCTCATTTACTAACATTACTCACTTTAAACAGAGCATAGAAATGGTCAAATAACCATTAGCCCACTTTTCATTAGTTTTATTTTTGAGTTGATGGAGATTGCTTTATCACTAATATACTAGCATTATTAGAATGCGTAGTTTTATAAGTACAAATTTCCTTTGTAATTGAAAAATGACAGAATAGCATTAATTATGTGTGTGCTGTTTTGAAGAAGCTGTAAATATAGGTACTCAAATTTACATAATGATTATTAAAAATGGTTATGATATGTAATACAGTATTGATGAATGGTTATAAAAAGTATTTAAGTGTTCACATTTTTAGAATGATTTTAGCATAGTTTTTTTACTTTACTGATTGGATATTTGTCCAGAAATTTATCATATCAAAACTTACAAAGGCCCTCTTGCACCAGAGACTAAAAATGATTCATATCATTCAATAGTAGTCTTAATGCACCAGAGACTAAAAATGATTCTAGTTCTAGGTATAAGTTTTTTTGTCCTTCTGGGTAACTGGAAGTAGTGCCAAGTATCTAAACATGATTATTCATCTTGTTAGTTAGTTGTTAGAGTCCCACTTGGAAAAATTAAAGAGAGGAAAATGAGTTCATAAGACCTTGAGTTGAAAGTAACTAATTGATTGGAATTGATCTCTTAGTGGGGTATGAGTCAAGTGGATTATGGCTCTGTTGGGCGACCCCAAAGACTTCCTATCTTAAAAATATGACTTTCTGATTTAACATTGGGCTTGTTTGGTTTTTGGCGGTTCACATCCCAATCTGCTGTAATTTACAGCGTTTCAAGTGTAAACTAATTTGGCAGTTTGGCTGAAACCTCAATGCCCAAACATAGCCATTGTTACAACCGCGTTCAAACATCAGTTGTTTTCTGTAGTTTTTTTCCCTTTCGGTTGCACAATTGAGAGGAAGGACTGAAACTTTAGCCTAATTATTACACATAATACTGAACTCTTAGGCTGATACTGTTGGACTAAAAGGCTCTTTACAACATTTATGTAAATTTACAGTGTTCTACAAAAAGCCAATGTTGGCATGCTGCACTTGAAATCTTAAGAGATGTCATGGATGCTGTTGACCCGCTACTTCCTGAGGTATGGTAGTGGCAGGTTTATTAACATCACCATGATATACTATGTCTTATTGCGTGCCTTTAGCAGTCATAAGAGTTCTTACTTTTTATTTTAGTTTGGACATGTTCCTGGACTGAATTTTTCTGTCTAATTTCGCCTGGTATTTTAAATTTGGTTTGATTATGTAAGTCTGGGTTTGGCCAATTAAGTCAGGGCAGCTTAGGATGACTGCCTAAAAATGTCATGTCTTTCCCTTTAGGGAGGAAAGGATGAGTTCACATTTGATCTTGTAGAACAATGTTCATTTCAGAAGCCAAAGGATATGCATCTTACAATGACTTCGAGGTAATCAGTTAATCACATCCCTCTTATACGGTTATACCTAAAAAACCCACTATGACTTGTATTCTCGTGAAGAGTGGAGTATTTGTTCTTGTTTTGCTAATTAGAAATAGAAATGTTTTATCTACAGAGTTAGAATTGAATAATTCTCCGTGGAGATCTCTTTGTATTTGACTGCTTTAAATAGCACTTTACAATCTACAAGATAAGCACAATCTATCTATGTATAAGGCTATGCGGTTACAACAGAATAGCAAACAAACGGATAAGCTCACCTTTGGATAAATCCTAATTATAATTATAATTATAGAATTAAATATAATAATTATACTTACAATTATAATTATGTAAGTAATTATATAAGTAATTATGATTATATAACTAAAAATATAATTACAATTATAATTATATATATAGTTATAATTAGTGTAATAGGTATAATTATAATAATTTTGAATTTAAGTTTAATTATTATTACATTTTTTCTATTTATGATTATAATTATAATTTTATTTAAATTATATTTGTAATTAAAATTATATTTCTAATAATTATAATTATAATTATAGAAATATTCAAATCAGATCAGATCAGAAAGATTCAGATCAGATCAGAAGGATTGAGATCAGATCAGACCAGATCAGAAAGATTCAGATCAGATCAGAAAAATTCAGATTAGATCAGATCAGAAAAATTCAAATCAGATCAGAACTTAAAAAATTTGGATCAGAAACATTCAGATCAGGTGAAGAGAACAACTTCTTATTTACTACCTATAGTACAACAAATATCAAGTAACCATGCATCGTGTATATACTCCGTATTATTTTAGATTACCGTATTACTAGTCTTTTACCCGTGCGTTGCACAGGATAGGAAGTTAAATAAGATGCTATTCAAAATTAATTTATGCAAGTTAAACAATAATGAGTAAATTTAGTGTTGTAATGTACCTAATATCAGATCTGAGACATCCATTGTTAATAACAATATTGAGTAAATTTAGTGTTGTAATGAACCTAAAATATCCACTCTCATATTTCTGCTTAGGTAGTGCTCATTTTGATCCTTAAGTTTTTGAAAGATAAAAAATAGTTTGAGTTATGACCCAAAAATAAGTGTAATAATAGAAACCCGTATCAAATTAATTTTGAAGTTAATAAAGCTAACCATTAATTATAAGTTATAACCAACCCAATATCGAAAACCCCAATAATAAAGACATTGGACCTTTTCTAACTTCAGTTTTCAGGAGCATGAAAATTAACCATTGCATTGAATAAAATATGGTGTATGAATATGAAAATATCCTCAAAAATCATCGTGAGATGTTATGTTCTGAACTCTCCCATATTCATGTTTGATAATGCAATGAAAAGTAGAAACGTCACTATTTTGTCGTAATCATAGCCCAAGAGCCCAAGTGCCCAACCTTGTACAGACACCTCCAAAGTCCAAAAGCTGCAACTTTTACAATTACTTAATTCTAGTACAACATTAGTAGTTTCTAGATATTCTCATTTTCAATAAATATAAAGTAAAAACAAAAATCATTATTAGAGTGTAAATGCTAATAGCAGAATAAGTTAGTGGTTAAAAAAGCACTTGCTTGACTATCCATATCCACATCTACAGTAGTGTCATTAGTAGTAGATTATAGAATAGAAGGAGAAAATAAATCCTTATATACTTTTATTATTAAGTGCAGTTCTTTAGCAGGGTTATAAACCAAGTTTCCACATGCTTTTTTTAAATCATAAAATAATTGGACCATTATATAGGGAATATTCATGTTACTATAATAAAGTGTATCACAATCATGCAGAACTTCAAAGCACAAAGGTGGTTTGAAGGCATAGGTTACATTCGGCAAAAACTGGTCAGAGGTTTTTATTCCACGACAATCATTAAATTGGTCCTGTTAGATAGCAGAATTTCTTTCAAATTTCAACACAAGTAATTCTTAATCGTTGCTTCATTTGCCACGACAATCAACAAAAGCTTAGGACCATCTCAATATCAAGTGAACATATTTCTTCCAAAATTTGCTTTTACGCACAGTCAATTGTATGTTACCATGTGAAGGATCACCTCCAGGAGTGAGTTAAAAATTCTTGGGTGATGAAGAGGGTTGTACTATCAACATCACTAATGATGTGCTCTATAAAGTAGTTTTCCAAGATCAATGAAACTTTTTTGAACATTGTCTAACATATATATGATTGTTCTATTTTATAAAGTTTTATGACACTCCCCTAATAATTGTACTACTAAGTTATTTAATTGTCATACATATCTTATTTTTATACCTTATCGTTTACTTTTATTTTACATGCAAGTTGCAATTTATCATACTATTCATATTTTCATTTTCTTACAACTACATACTACAACGTTTATAATAAAAGTTAAAACATAAATTTTATCGTCTTTTTTATTTTACAAAATTACAAATTATGCACCTTCGTAAAACGTAATTTTTTACGAAGTATAAGTTACTATTCAGTTCTAGATATATTCCGTGCATCGCGTAGCTACTTCGACTAGTAGTTTTTTTTTAAATAGGGAGACAAATGTATTATGCCAATGTATTTGTTTAATATAGTATTTTGAAGACGCTTAGCTACTAAGATTTGCTTGCAACCAACTCAAGAGTACGTGAATCAATAGAAAGCATGTATATATTTATTGAATACTGTTATTATCAATTCAATACACTTGCAAATTTCAATTTTCAATATGTCGTTCTCTTCCATTTTTTGTCATCACGAGGTCAACTTTCTCAACTAACGGTGGACAAATACAACGTTTCATAATTGGATGACATGTGCAAACTGGCATGCATTCAGTTTGATTGTTGCATTTTGAGGCTACGTTCCTTGCTTCAGAGATTGGCAATGCACCTGCATTCATATGTATAATCCAATAATAAATATATATTTATTAATCTATTAGGTGGACATTGAATATGAAAACTGTTAACATTTTTATGAGATGAATATATACTAATGAAGTGTTTGGGGTACAAGTTCATTTAGTACTCTTCTATTTGTCAACTATTGTGAATAGTTTTGAGTATTACATTGGCGGAACAATAAATTTTAAAATTCTATGTAGCCAAATTGTTCTTTGTAGTAAAGTTGGGATATAAGCTGAGTTGATAATTATAATCATTAATAATTACAATATCAACAAGACATTATATACATACATATATATATATATATATATATATATATATATATATATATATATATATATTTCATTATACTTAATTCTTACTAATAAAACAAATGTCTTGGCTCTATTGGTCTTATGCAATCACTACTTGTTTATATCAAAAGTTATGTTTATAACTTTCTACGCATGGAAAACAAATATATGGTGCATCTAGTCCTCATACATTTAGATCATCTAGTGATACATTTTTTTGTTAATAGTGTCCACATTCGATTCATGTGAATACATGAAAGAAGCTTCACGGTTCACAGGCATGGGATGATCCATCCCAAAATTCAATGTAAACTATCTGTCATGTAACAACCATCCAAGAGTTTTAGCTTGTACATGGCCAAAAAGAATACTTCGTATTATATTACGGCTAGAGCAAGAGTGGTGGACTAAATAAGAAAAACGAAAAAGTTTACACTAATAAATAAGAAAATATATATTTTTTCATCGACTTAGCCCACTATTCTTATCATGTACAGAGTAATTTGTACCTAATTTGGGACTTTCCAATGACTTTTTCTTGGACAAGTTATAAAAATGGATTAAAAGTGATAGGACCTTATTATTTATGTAACATAAGGAGAAAAGTGATAAGGGCTTAAAGTTGTATAAATCTTGTGGGATGAAAAGAATAAAATAAAGGCTATCTAGTCTAAAAACGTTTTGAAATGTTATACACTAGTCCGAAAAATCTCTCACGCATGTATATATATTGTTATGTGCATCAGTGCATGTCTGTTTATATCGGAAGAATTAACTTACAAAATTGGAGCAACATGAAAGGAACTAGAATAGACGATGAGATTTTTTATGCCATGACTATTGATTGGTCTCTCACAATTGTTTTGTGTGAATATTTTGGACACTACCTCCTCCTATTTATAAGATAGAAAATTTTCTCGTACTAAGAATCTAACATACATCTATTCTCAAAAATGGATTTTGATTTGGTAGCAATAATAAATGCCTTCCTAAATTTGGAATGGACCTAATTGGAAATTATTTATTATGCAATTAAAATTGAAATATTTGGTACGTTTAAAGCCTTGTAGCCTGAAGCATTAAAAGCTTTAGAATTAAAGCTTATTACATTGACCGAATACAAGATTAGCTGTCGTATATATATATCTCGCCAAACATATACATTTCAATAATAAATTGTCACTCCCCAGACCGCATTTGAGCACGCTAAGAACCATCATACAATCAAGTGATGTCACCCGCTCACAGGTCACCCTCACTTGGTTGTACAAGGTGTCCATGAACTTAGTTTATACAAACCTAATTAGTAAACGTATATAACAACATCAACAATAAGTCTTACATAAAGCGGAAATATTAAATATTTGATCATACGCCACACTCAGAAAAATATGGGCTCGCAAGCCCATAGTAGTTTATATCAAATCCAAAAGTATTCATGAGCATTGTTTGTCATTTTAAAACATGACAGGGAAGCACGAATCACTTCTTCCTCAGTTGCAAAGGTCCGGGTATCAAGCTCAAACTTCAACCTGGGAATGTTGAGAGCCCCTGAAGGAGTTGGTACAATTTGTAGTGGTGAAACACGGACTAAATGTAGATTATCTTACAATTAGTAAGCTTATCTTTTTTTATATCTAAAACTCTTACATATGAGCAATGTTCTAAAAGGCGTGAGGCGTGACAAGGCGTCGAGGCCAAGTCTCAAGCCTTTGAAGCCTAGGCGGGAATAGGCGAAGCCTAGGCGTGAAAAGGCGTTTTAGATTTTTATTGATAATTAGTATATTATAGTAACCTATGAAGAAAAAGATAAATGTTCAAAATATATTATCCAAGATTGAACTTACATTTTACTTCATTCAATATATATATATATATATAGTTTTTGAAAATATAAAGTGTAATCGTAAAATGATACATTGTTATTTTTTCAATTTTTGCCGTATTTATGAACACTGAGTGAAAGTAGTAATTACTATTAAAAAAGTTGAGAGAGATTATTTTTAAAGTAATACAAAGAAAATGACAAAGGATTGATTTTATTGTCGTAAACATGAAAAATATTATGTACGCTGTTTCAATTTAGGATGTTTTTATTTGGACTATAATTTACTGGTATGGTGTGGTCTGATAAATATATGATCACTGTGTATTTATAAGGACGAAATTCAGGTCTGATCTGATCTATTTAGGTCTGATATGAACTGAAAACAATATAAATAAAAACATCCTTACAACAATTATTATTATTATTACTAAATATTTGGTTTGCTTAATTAAGGTGAGATTTCTTCTAATTGGATTACTAGTGCTAGCGGCTAGCCTGCTAGGAAACTCAAACATTGTCCCACACCGGAGTAATTAATGTTGCATTTATATCTATTCATTATAAATTGTTTGGTTCGTAAGTATATCAAGGAACGGGCTATCCCACACCGGATATGTAAACATATTCCCCTCAGGAACTCCTATACAAATACATAAGAGGGGCTTTGAAGGAAACAAGATAAGACGCTCACTCAATTCACCGCCTGATCGGTCAAAATGAGAGTTGACCGCCTTTTAACACGCATCGCAGCTATTCGAGGCTTTTAATCGACGCTTCAAGCTTAGGCTCGCATAGCCTTTTGATGAGAGAGAAAGTTCTCGAGCTCAATTGTTAGCTGGCTTACCTCATACCTAAAAACACTACATATGAGGGAGAGAAATTATTTCGTTCAATTGTTAGCTGGATTATTTTATACCTAAAAGAAATATATATGAGAGATAAAGTTCTTTCACTCAATTGTTAGCAAGTTTATCTTCTAATAACTAAAAGTAGTACATAAGAGATAGAAAATTCTTCCGCTCAATTGTTAGCCGGCTTGTCTTATACCCAAAAGCACTATATATGATACAAAAAATCCTCTCTCTCAATTGTTAGTTGGATTATGTTATAGTTAAAATAAGTGCTTATTGAGAGAGAGAGAAATATCTTGTTCGATTGTTAAGACGATTTATGGCTTAATCTTTCTTATACCTAAAAGCACCACATATGAAAGAACAAATTTTTCCTCTCGATTGTTAGTTGACTTATATTACTATCTTACTGAAAAGCACTACAAATGAGAGACAAAGTTATCCCGCTCAAGTGTTAGCCAACTTATCTTATACCTAAAAACATTACATATGATAGAGAAATTTTGGCCGCTCAATTGTTAGTCGACTTATCCTATACTTAAAAACACTACAAATGAGAGAGAAACTTATTCCGCTCAGTTGTCATCCAACTTATCTTATACCTAAAAACATTATATTATTTCAACATGTTGATTTTTAATTATGAAATGTGATTTTTCAAGATTTTCATTTTTTATTTTTAAGAATTCCTTTTTTCAAAAGCCCCTTTTTATTACCCACTGATCTATTGTTTCTTTCATGTTCTAATTTTGATACTTAGAGCCGGTTTAGTAACACTAAAATTGGCCGGCTAAATTGTCTCGTCCTTTTGAAATTGATGAAATTCTCATAAAAATGCCTGAATTGGTTGAAATTGATTCTTTAGATTTATGGATAAATTTAATTTAGATTATATTTCATTAATGAAGTATATAAAAAATTATATGAAAAGCGGTTGAATCTATTGGTTTATGGATAAATTTAATTTAAAATAATTTTATTAATGAAATTAAGAAAAACATTATTGAAAAGTAGCTAAAAAGATCACATACAGTAACTTCCTTTATTGAGACAACAAAATAGATCATAAATTGAATATAGATAGTTTTAAGCATAATTATAGAGATCGTTAATAAATTATATTTGTATATATTCAATATTGATCTCATATGAAAGATCACAAAAATTATGAATTTTGATATGATTTTTGTAAAAAATGGAACAAAAATGAAAAAGTTATAATACTTTAAAAAAAATTGGGGTTTTTTATAGGTTGGGCCCCACCAACTGAAAATCCTACGGCTGCTCCCCTTCCATTTCAATTGGAGAAGTTCGGTATTTTGGAGTGAAAAGCCACGTGTCATTTTTATAGAAAATGAGAGAATTGTGGAGAGTTTGACACATAGGATCG